CCCCCCTCCAGGCTACAACCCCAGCTACCCCCCTCCGCCCCCGCGTATGCCACCAGGGCACAATGTGCCCCCTCCGGTGATGGGCTTACCGCCCGCTGGGTACCCACCTCCACCCGGCCAACCTCAGGTGCCGCTGCCACCCCACGCCATGCCGCCTGTGGCAGGAATGAACAGAGGGGCTTGGATGAGATGAGGGGTGATTAAATCAGGCCCTACACGATACATGTGCCTGTATACAATATACACAGTCTGTATCGGGTTTATGTGTATTCTGAGACATTTCAGCTGCCAGTGTCTGGGAGTCCATGAAATACCGCAGACTTCTGCTTGGGTTCAGGGTTTCACGGTTAGACTTTAAATCCACTGATGCGATTTGAAGGGATAGTTCACCCCAAAATGAAAAACTGATGTATTTACTCTCCCTCATGTTGTTCTAAACCTGTATGCAAAATGGATATTTATCCATACAGTGCTTCACGTTGACCATGGTTGGTCAATCTACAAAGAGGGCAATCTAAAAAATGGACCATACAACTTGTGATTAATACTTATATTTTTAATAGAAATCGATACTTTATTTTCAGCAAGAACTATTTAAATTGATCAAATGTGTCAATAAAGACATTTATAATGTTACAGTGATTTCTTTCTATTCGTCACAGAATCCTGAAAAATTATCATGGTGTCCACAAAAAAAAAAAAAAAAGCAGCACAACTGTTTTCAACATTATTAATTAAAAAAATATATATTTCTTGAGCACTAAATTAGCATATTAGAATTATTTCTGAAGGATCATGTGACACTCAAGACTGGAGCAATGATCCATTACTGAAATAAATTATGAAATTATAAATAAAAAAAAAGAAGTTATTTTAAAATGGAATCAAATTTCACAATATTGTATTGTAATTCACTATTTTTGAACAAATAAATGCAGCCCTGATAATTTTTATTTTCAAAAACCCTAAAATCTTACCGACCTCAAACTTTTGAACGGTAGTGTATATACACATAATGATGTTTGTCAATGAAAACTATTATAAAGTGATTATACTAAATGTATATAATTGATACTATAGTAACACGGCTATGACTTCTGTCCACACATAGATCGCAAGGCTCCGTCTGTCATCCCAGCTCCTCCCGCTGAAGCAGAACCGGCCACCTCAGCTGACATGGATCCAGCACAGGGCCCGGCTCCTCCTCTGCCCCACGGAGCCCCGCCCCCTCTGCCTCACCGCCCGCCACCCCCTCCTCCCTCCAAGTTCAGGGTTTCACGGTTAGACTTTAAATCCACTGATGCGATTTGAAGGGATAGTTCACCCCAAAATGAAAAACTGATGTATTTACTCTCCCTCATGTTGTTCTAAACCTGTATGCAAAATGGATATTTATCCATACAGTGCTTCACGTTGACCATGGTTGGTCAATCTACAAAGAGGGCAATCTAAAAAATGGACCATACAACTTGTGATCTATGACTCGGGACAATATGATGTTTTTGAAGTCATATAATAGAGCTGTTTTCAGCTTTTTTCAAAATTATTATGTGGTTTCCGAGCTCAAGTAGTAAGGATTACTTCATATTATATGTTCTGGTCAATATGAATGGTTTTTACATGAAAAGATCTGAAAAGATGTGAAGATTCAAAAAAAGAAAAAAAAAAGCATACAGGTTTAGAATGGCATGAGGGTGGATAAATAAAGACAGAGTCTGGGGAAACTGTCCCTTTAAATTCTTACATTCCAAACCCATTTCTGTGAATGAATTATGAATTCTTGGTTGTACATATGATTTATTCTGTATTATCTTTAGAGAACCTTTTTTTCAGTGTTATGTATTCACTCTCCTTTGGCTTTGCTTAGTTGGTGTGTTGCAGAATCTTGGGGAAAATATCCCCTTAGCAGTCCTTTGATTCAGATGCGTTTCTGGCATCTTTGACTGACCTGAGATCAAGTGCATTGATTGATAGGCATGTTCGTTCTGTAGTTTCCCGTATGTGCCTTAGTTTGCTTAGTATTTAATCGGCAAAGGACTTGCTATGCTCAACCACCTTGTGTTTGCCTGTTGATTTTTTTTTTAGGCAGATAATAAAAGTATTTTTCCCCTTGTGCATTTACTTGATTGTGTCTTGTTTTAAATTGCGTCACTGTCAGGCTATGAACTATCTGAGAAAATAATTAAATTAAAAAACATTAAATGTACACATTGTGTTACACAAGGTTTAAAAATATGGTATTACAAACCTTGCCTGTACAGTTTCAAAATGATACAAACAAGCTCCTGGCTGGAAAGATTAAATAAAGTTTCACAAGATATATCCCAGTATACATTTCTAAAATTAACACTTTATTAAAACTTGAATTACATTAATAAACAACATTATATTGTGTAATGCTAAACAGGTCATTAGTTAAAATGTATTCGTGTTTTATGTTTGCATTATCAGTAAATTACCAAACTTTCTATTTGGTTAGCTTAAAATATATAACTTAGCTTTTCAGAAAACATGCTGTGTCTTTTCCATATCTAATTTTTTATGCCTCATTGTGCATACAGTATGTTGTTGATTCGGTTTTAATTTTGTGAGGTTGTCGATGAGATGAAATGTGTAAAAAGGAGTAATTCCCTTCATTACCATTAGGGGGCACAATTCTCAAACATTTATTTTATTATTTTGCATTTTGCACAGCTGCTTTGACACAATCTGCATTGTAAAAAAAAAAAAAACTCTATATAAATAATGGTGACTTGACTTGACATGTTTACTGGAATTGGGCTTTACGTAGGCCATCAAGTTGGGACCCGCACTAATATAGCTCCAAAATTGCTCTCTGCAGCCAATAATTCACCACACAGTTGTGTTAAACACAAACCATGTTTACCTATTGCCATTAAACCGGTATTTAACATGTTTTGTTCATGGGTTTTGAGATGTTAACATTGCCTAATTTAGCAAGTGACATGAATTTGCACCTAAATCACATAAACGAAACATAAGAATGGCTAGTTGCATTTAGCAGTGTTCTTCCCCCTGCTGTTGGCAACCCTATCAGATCAGCCTTGTGACCTATTTTCAGGGTCACAACCCACCATTTGAGAACAACTGAACAAAATATCCCAAAGTACAGGTTTAGCAAAGTTGAACTTTAAATTATTGCACTAGGTTCTATACATCTGTTACTATACAATAAAGTCTATAATGTCCTCTATCATAGAAATGCTGGTATTTCACATTAGTGAAACGCTAACAGATAGTTTGATACATTTTATTCATATGAAGGATGTGTGTTTCAAAACTGAATTAAATCAACACTGAACTAAACTGTAAAGCTGCTTTAAAACAATCTGTATAAAGTGCTATATAAATAAATGTGACGACATAAAGCAATAGTTTGTTTATTGACAAAATTGTCTGTTTCACTTTGTACACCTTTTTTTCTTTACATCTTTACCATAAAATGTCTCCTGCTGTCATGCTCACAGCTATTAACACTGAAGACAGGATAAACCTCAGAGGTTTTACACAATAAAACAACACAGGGAGTAGGCGCATAGGTTCCAAATAAAACCCCATGCACAAAAGAGGCAAATAATATCATCCCAAAAAAATCATGGCTTTGTGTTCAGACCGCTTCTCAAGTGAAACGGCACTTTATCTGTATAGGATCTGCTTGCAACTCCTTTCATTAACAACAATAGCAACTTCTCATGTTTGTAACAGGTGGGTCAAAACTCATTGCCAGCCAATCAAATGCACTCTTACTAATAGAGAAAACATCTCTGGTTAATTCATGTTAAAACTCTTTCTTTAGCTTTTACCCATTTACAATTACATCTTTTGGCTATGTTCGGAATAGCATACTAACATCTTATCAAAATGCAGCATACAACATATATATCCCACAATGCAGTGTGCTCGACCTTCCATTGCCAGTATGAAGATCGAACTGAATTAGTTGCAATTTATTTGAATATGGAATATTTCTAGACTTTTTAATACGTCAATGCTACTGTTTACGGTTGTAAAATGTGTACTGTTTTATATACTATTTCTTTTTTTTGATATAGTATTTAGCATATATTGCACAATAATATGCTAGGTTTGCATTCTGACCACAGCCGTAGTATTTCATTTATAGTCAGCCTGTTTTTGAACTCTGGTTCATTTGACATCGAAAAGAATATCAGGAAAAGAGACTCACATACATTAAACTATTGCTGACATGCATTTAAATGAGCTGAACATCACTTGCTATATCCAGACCTTAATCACTATTTAAGATAACAATAGTTCTCTGCTGAATAGCAGGCCAGACTTTTGAGGGAAAATGTGAGGAATTTAAACATAAAATGTGTTAAATGGTGCTGAAAGTGATAACTGAAAGCATTATCAAATTAGCCAAAATATATAATAAATGAACAAGCATGGGGTGGTAAATATGCATAACTTCTAATGGATTCCATGAGGGCTTGTGATAATTTTTCATCCAAAACAAACAACAATAATAATAACTGACAGTGACAGAGAATCCCCCTGCAACAACTACTTAAAAATGAAACCGCTTGATGGGCGCAGTTTTCCTTCATGGACTGAAATATTAAGTTGGGGCAGGACATATTGATGGACTTGTCCACTTTTTGAGACACAAAGCTGCTTTAATTTAAACTTTGACCCCATTGCCATCATCTGTCATGCATTCATGTGGAGGTCAATGTGGAGCATTGCATGTTTTTTTTTAGTTTTTTTTTTTACTTGAATCACGAGAAAGGGCCTTCAGGAGTTTTAGGGGCCATTTATACGACAACATTTTCATCCAAAAACGGGAAACTTTTTATGCGTTTTGCCTGTTTGTTACACGACAACAGCGTTTTGGGGACTGAAAACGCATATTTTTGAAAACGGCACTGTTATCGTTTCCGTGTAAACACCCAAATATGGGAATCTTTGAAAACGGTGACGTCATGTGCGTGCGCAGTACGTGTTAAGTATGTAGACATGCGCAGTACGTGTCGATTTTAAAGGCAAGCGCGAACAAACATACACAACAATGGCGGAGTACATGGTACTGTTGTTGCTGCTCAAGAGTTTGCTAACGCTTCTTCAGCAAAGTGTGGATTTACTTCACCAATATTACAACCAACAACAGCCATATACAACATAAAATCATCACTTCTCTGCAGGTACTGTTTACTAGCAAGGTGACAGCGCCAACTACTGGCCTGGCATACGTAGTACAGCGTTTTTGGCCGTTTTCACGGATATGTGTAAATGCAAATCATTTTGAAAATGTTGTCGTGTATACGTGAAAATCTTTAAAAACACAAGGGAAAAACGTTTCTGTTTTTGACTACATCGTTGTCGTGTAAATGTAGCCTTAGATTTGTAGGTAAACTCCAAGGGTTGAAACAGATAGCCTAGACTTTTAAAACATTAGGTTAGCACAATTATTTCTGCCAATGCATCAGTCTTGACTGTTAACGGGTCAATCAAGGACTTAAAAAGGCTGGAAAAGGACAAAACTACTATGTTTCAGACATGATGTATACTTGCCATTTCCCTAGACCTGAGAGACGTGATTGTCTAGCATGCACACCGTTTTAAAATTTGACATCTTAAATATACAAAAACAATGAATTTCAGTTGTGACTGCCATTTTTTTCCATACAGGAAGAGGGAAAAATCAGATTCAGCATGTTTTGTGCTGCTTTTGTGTCTTGAGTTGCATTGTTCAAAAAGTGTTGCGCTGTTAAGAAACCCCATACGCTGTTAAGTTGGAACTTATTAAAAACAGCTACTAGAAAAAGTAAAAACACTTAAAAAGACAACATAATAAAGTGATTTAAAGCTTTTGTACATATCTTACATTGTCTTTCAAAATCATTTCTGTACATTACTTGCACAGGAAGGGTACCAGAACACAGTGGAGTGAGTGAGCATTATCTGGTATCACTCTGAAAGGAGTAAACCACAGTTTGATGGACCCAACTTTGTCTAAAAGGGTGTAAGGAAACAATAATGAGTTTTCTGACATCACTGTTATGTAAAAACAATAATATGAGGCAAGCTGACTGAACATGACTAGCTGCCAGTCGTAAACACTTCATGGGTCCAGTCTCAAACGATACTATCCTTTTAGTGTTTCTTCTCTAAATCTACATTCGGTCAAATTGACTGTTGGGTAATTGTCAACTGAGTAGTCCAAAATTGGTAAATTCATACGAGATCCATTTAATCAATAAAGAAAAAATATAATTAATAGTAAAAAAAAAAAGTCATTTCAATGCAGATTATTGCTTTACATGTTC